GGGCAGGGGACGGGGTCAGCCACCGGCTCGGCCTGTGCATGCCCACCCCTCCCAGCAGCACCTCTCTCTGGCCCACCTGGCTGGCCGGAGTCTGGGGACTGGCACTGCCTGATACAACTTTCAGTATTTTCAGTGCCCAAAGGGTGCAACGACTAGCCCTTCAAATGAGGCCAGAGCCCCTGAGGAAGTGGGTCTTTAGGCAGCGCCACCGCACAGCAGGGCAGCGCACAGGACAGATCAATGTCTTCCTGCGTGGAGGCCTTTGGTCTTTCTTTCTTTGAGATTGAGTCTCACTCTGTCACCAGGCTGGAGTGCAGTGGCGCGATCTTGGCTCACTGCAACCTCCAACTCCCCAGTTCAAGTGATTCTTCTGCCTTAGCATCCCAAGTAGCTGGGACTACAGGCACGTGCAACCATGGCCAGCTAATTTTTTTTCATATTTTTAGTAGAGACAGAGATTTATCATGTTTGCCAGGCTGGTCTCGAACTCCTGACGTCAGGTGATCTGCCCACCTTGGCCTCCCAAAGTGCTGGGAATACAGGCATGAGCCATGCGGCTGGCCTAATTTTTGTGTTTTTAGTAGAGATGGGGTTTTACCATGCTGACCAGGATGGTCTCGATCTTCTGACCTCGTGATCTGCCCGCCTTGGCCTCCCAAAGTGCTGGGATCACAGGCACGAGCTACCGTGCCCAGCCGCCTTTGGTCTTTTCAAGAGGTAAGAAAAAAAAAAAACCTCCACAGCTCCACATTCCCACTCAGCCACTTTCCTGTCTGACCCCTGGATATTCCAGCCCTACTGGGAAACACCAGCCTGCCGTGCATCCCTCAGAGCGCTCACTGTAGCTACCCAAGCCACCCTGCCCCAGGCCAAGCCCCACCCCAACCATGTCTGTTCCGAAATGCCACTGCAGGTCAGCTCCACGTCCAGCCCTGCTTGCGGGACTCTGGCCGACCCTGCCTGCCCAGTGCAGCCCCCGTGCCTCCTGGGTGGCTCCAGCACTGCACAGGCTTTCTGGAACCCCTGGCAATACAAGACCCACGCCACACCTCACACGGCACCCTTGGCTGCCAGCGAGGCGGGAGAGCTGGAGCCCAGTGACAGGCTCCTACACCAGCACTTAGCATAACACACTGCCACCAGCTTCCAACACGCTGCTGTCACCTCACAACACTGGCACAGGATGATGACACACAAATGCTCAATGCCACATTTCCTGTCCCCAGCCCCCAGAAGGCTGATGCCAGTGCACAGCACAGCCCCGATACTCTTTGTCCATCATCAAGCATGTGTGCCTACCTGTGCTAAACCCTGCAGCAGGTTCACCCAGCAACCCAGAAGCAAAGCCCAGAGGGCCTAGTCCTCCAGAGAGGGCAGGAGGCAGCAGGGGCTCTGCTGGCTGGGCGCGCACTCTGCCAGCACTGACCACGTGTGAACTCTGCAGCAGCCCAGGGGAGATGCTGCTGTCTCACAAGATTGGCACTGCGCCCAGAAAGCCTCTACAGGGGCAGGTCTAGGAGCCTGGCTAGGCCGGAGGCATTTGGTGAGAAGGCGAAGGTGAGCGTCCACTTCCTCAGAGGACACTCAGGGGCTCCTTCCACACCTTCTGAGTACATCCCCCACCCCCAGAACACGGCTGGGCACACACAGGGGCTCCGGAAGTAACCAACTGCCTGCGAGCCAGCTGCTTAAGGCTCATGGGGTCCAGATGACAGGACGGTCGGAGCTGTAGAAGGAGGCTGCTCAGGTGAGATGGCCTGGCCTGCCTCCCTGGGAGGTGAGCCACAGGCAGTGTCAACTTAAGAAGCACCCCGCCCTGTCAGGCAAGGACGACCCCAGGTTTAGCTACACAGTTCTTTTGCTGCCAGGCAGTCCTTCATTCTGGAAACCAATCCTGATGTCTCATCAGGTCCCCAACCCACTCCGCCCCCTTTGCCTTCTTCCACTTAAAGCCTCTGAAAGTACTACTACTTAGCAACACCATCCCCGCCCCCTTCAGAGGCTGCCCGACCCCCCTATCTCCAAATCAAGAGACATAAATTTTGACTCAGTCACAATACAGGCTTATTCATTTCTGTGTTCACTAGCGTCTAAGTTCCAAGAGTGTTGCGTCCGTGCTTATCCCCTCCGTGCTCAGCTGATGCGTGCAGTAACTGGTGCTTAATAAACACGTGGTGGATGAAGGTCTGCAGGCCAGAGAACAGCTGGGGCAGATGTTTGGTCTCCCACGGAGACGGCAGCAAACACAGGCCTTAGGCCCCAGCAGCCTGGCCGAGGGGCTTCCCACGACCGGGATGCGCCGTGAGCCAGTGCTCCCGGCACCC